CTGTCATATCCCTAGAAAGTAGGGACATTTTAAGAAAGTCCCTCGAATAAAAGATCATAGTCCCTCAATGACCCTTTCGACGTTTCCTTTCGATAAATGATCTAGTCCCTTATGAAATTGCTAAAGCGTCCTAACAAGTTGCCTTCGATGATCGTACGATGACCCTACGCATATCCCTTCACATCCAACGATAGGGCTTCCTACTAACTAATGGTATGGATAGCACTATCTAAAGGAGAAAGAAAAGTATAAGAACAACCTTGAATGGATAGAACTGTTAATCGCTTGCTCATAAATTTCTCAAAAAACAAAACATTTCACAAACACTTTTAAAAAAATTTCAAACACTTTGTATACACTCTTGAGGACCGATACAAGAGTTATTACAAAGTTCACCTTACATTGGCAAACTTTTTAAATATTTTCAAACACAGACATAAAGAGCAAATTTTTAAAAGTGATCTAAGCGATTAAGAGCCCGTTGATAACTACAGATGAAAATGGTACTAACACCTTCCCTTTTCATAACATACCCCCCTAACTCAAAATCCTTAGAGGTATTTCCTATTCTTTTCACCCTTTCCTATTATTTTCACCCTTTCCTTATTGGATAAAATAAAATTCGGTGGCGACTCTAGTTATCCATAACATCTGCGATAAATTGCAAAAACAAGTCAGTTTTCCCACCGTATTACACTAAGGCTCAACAAGATTGCGATGTGAGCTTTCTCTATCATGGTCATCTTTTCCTTTTCCGTTAACGCAACACATGGTCATCGCTCCCTTCAACGCTTCAAAACAACCCTTCTGAACTAGTGGGGCTTTCATCTTCAAACGCCACAAGCCGAAATCTTCCACTCCGGTGAACTTTTCAATTTCATACTTTGTTTAAGGCATATTCTTCATGCTCACTGCGCCAATTTGTTGTGAAACATGATACCTTTGAAACAAAATATAAATTGTTTCTTTATGATCAAGAAATAATTAGGGTAGAAAAGATGGAAGAACACGAAGAACAACAAGGATTGGTTATTAACTGTTATTCTTTACTTTTTCTTCAAACAAGATTATAAGTACACAAGAATAACAAATAACCCTCTCACTCTAAATTAAGATTTGCAGTATGCATTGATGAGAGACTAGTATACTATTTATAATAAACCTAACATACTAAACTAATGGGCTTTTCACAAATACTCATTACAAGCTAACTTAGGGTACAAGATAACTTAAATAATTGGACATAATAAACAAGCCCAATTCGAAATATTAACAATTCTAGCATTTCGACACCCACATACTATAACACACTTCGACTATAATATGTAGGTCTTCGACACAAGCATGTGAACATACTTCGATGACATGCATAAATCATGTTGAACTAGAAGCTACTCTTTGATCCAATAGAGTTCGATCCAATATCTCACAGTTTTCACACTTCAAATGCCACCAATTGATATGTGGAGTTCACATGTGATTTCTTCTCTTCACACTCCTCTTGACTCTTACATCCACAAATAATAATCTATGTCGGGTTGTCAAGCTTTCTCTTGGTATAACTTTACATTCCAAACAAATATTTTTATTTAACTTTCTAATAAGAAAGAAAGAAACCTATATGAAAACTTGTCATCTCACTCTTATATGTAATAAGATATCATCTCTTTTTCTAAAATAGGTATTAGTTATAGTAAGATCAAAAGTCAACGATAATTCTAGTATGAATTTATCCTATGCATTTACCTCCTCGAGACCAATAACCACATAGACGCCCTCAAATCCTCTTGACATGCTCTCTACATGTCCATTTAGATCCTCTTCTAAAAAAATATTTTCTCCTTGAAGTATATCTTGAAATAAGCCTTCTAAATTTTCCCAAAATTTTAAAGTAAGGACTTATGCTAACCTAACCTGAGGTGTATAATCATTAATAATTTTTAAGACGTTTTATTTAAGAGATTTTATCCTGACAAACCCACCTTGATCTGGTATCTCCACATATTTTCAAAATGGCGCAAATATCAATATCAAAATTTAACCAAAAAAGAGTGAACGAACAATTGGATAGTGCAATTGAAAAATCTGGTATGAATAAAAAAATGACAGTGTATTTTAAAAAGTCTGGTATTTTTATCGGTTTTTAGAAAAATGAATTTAACACTCTAGATTTTTTGATAAATTCGATATGTTTTATAATTTTCTGGATTTTTGAAAAATTTGATTGTTCATTTGATAGACAAAAAATGAAATTAACATGCAATTCGACCAGTAATCCAGTGACCTAGTAATTCAGCCGATAAACCAATAATTCACTATCACTGATTTGATGATCGATCCAATTTTTAAAATATTAAATGGAGAGAAAATTGAGATTTTATTTATTTATTTATATATATATATATATATATATATATATATATATATATATATATATATATATATATATATATATATATATATATATATATATATATATATATATATATATATATATATATATATATATATATATATATAATGCACACCTATGTAGATGTATATTAACATCATACACCTTTAATATATTTTTAAGTAACACCCATCACTTTATTTTTTATTTTTTTTATTTTTCAGATTTTTATCATTTTAAAGAGATTTAAATCCTTATTATTATTTTAATAATTTAAAGGTGTCTATAGCCACAATGTGCCTAAAGGTGGATCAAGCAGAGGGTGGAGGAATAAAATCTTTTTGTTTCTCTATAATATAAGTCTATGATTTGATCCCCTACTTTTTTTTCCTATCCACAATATCAAAATGTTCGACATTGATTTATACAATTAATCAAGAGATAACCTAATGAAAAGTATTAATACAATATGTATTCATTTTCAGAAAAGATTATATACAATTAACTATTTAAACAGCCAAAATTGTCCCCTCCATCACCACCCGGAATTTCATCAAGATCGGTTGCAAATAGGGGTGTGCAAAGAATCCAATAACTATAAACCAAATTCTTATCCAAATTAATCCAAATTTTAAAACCTAATCCAATACTATAATTTAAAACTGGAGGTCCATTTAATAAAATAAAATAAAAACCGGTACCCATATTTTAAATCGGTTTAGCTTACCGGTTACCATATTATTTCATATTCAACACTCTTTCTCTTTCTCCCGACCGCAATGCACAATACATGTTCTTCTTCTTTCCATTACTTCCAACGAAATTCATCATATCATTCTTCATAACCCTTTAACTTCAAAACCTTAATCCTAAAATCTAATGAAATCGACTAAATGATTCTCAAATTCAACGAAATCGTCCAAATTACAATTATGGGTTTATTAAAATAGTTATATAATCGACGAAATCATTTTTCAAATCCAACCTTCGACAACACCTTCAAGCCCTCTTCTGTGTTTCTGGTAAGTAAATTTCTTCACTGAAGCTTTTTAGTTTCATCTGAACTTTTTTCTTTCGATCAATCGGTTTTAGTAGTAGTATCAGTTTAGAGGTATTTATACTAGATTTCCATCATGAGTTCAAGACGGAGTTGTGAGTGTTGGTTTCAAGAGGCCAAATGTTTTTGAGATTTGGTTCTATTGTGTTTCTGATGTTGATCCTTGCTGACCTTAATGCATCTAAGAGTGTTCATTGAAGTTTCATCTCTTATCTTGTATAGTTGTAGAATTTTGGCTAGTAGCTGGTAAGGCATTGATTTCATATTTTACTGTCAGATGTTCTTGCTGGCGTTTGTGTTTGAGTGGTTAAAAGAATTCTAGGTTATAAGCTGGGTCTGATGCAATTTTGGTAAGAGATGTCATAGAATAAGTTCATTGATTGGATTCATCAATGTGGAGTTAATATCTTGTTTTGGTCTTTTTTTTTTTTTTGTATTTCAATTTGTTTGAACTATCTTGTATTTGGACATGTTTTTATCTTGCACTCATTATATTGTATTAGTGCATGCTTTAATTTATCATTTATTTGATATTTAATATATATCTCGAGTAATTATGTTGGATTGTTTATATTTCAAAAACACTTGTTTCAAATCGGTTTTGATTTTTTCAATGGTTGCTAATCTGGGTTTTCCCACTATTTTGTTTTACCGTTGAAATCCTTAATTTGTATTTATATGAGGTTTTTCCATCATGTTTTATCTTTGTTTTCAATGGATATAGTTTTCTGATTTGTTGGTTTATACCCTGTCTATAATTTGTGCATTAACATGAACTGTATTGTATGGCTCAATTGATAACACTAATTGAACTGTATATATCTAAGTGTATAAAGATATTATGTAGTTTATATTTAGAATAACGGTGGAATTTGGTTTTTGATAAATCTTATTTATACTATTTTAATCCCCTTGTGTTGTGTCTCTACAAATCGGTTCCAAGAATTGGTTACCAGTCCACCCTTTTGGCATTTGGTGCTAGTGAGCGAGTGTAAAATATTACTTATAAGGGTATTAAGATAATATAATAATAATACTAAAATAGTATTAGATGTGTGCATATAACATTATACATCTACTTATTTACAAGGGCTCACTAACGATACCGAATAACCAAAGGGTGAATTCTTTAGCAAAATTGCTACTCTCGGGGAAAAAACAACACAAGTAAAACGAACATCTTTTAAAGACCAAATTGTTTATGTTGGAGTGAAATGAAGCTCGTGATATATGTGCAGGTGAAATATATAGATAAGAAGCAGAAGAAACATGCACCAAGGGTACTTATAAGGCGTCCTATTGCTCGAATCGAAGGTGACCTTTATTTTTAAGTTTTTATTATTATTATTAATTGAAAAAGTTTTACATTTCATTCCTCTATAAGAAGTTTTAATGATGGCATACACAATTTAGTGTTGAATTCTATTTATAATAAATTAAAGGATCTTGAATACACTTTGTTTTCTATTTATAGACCAATATCTAAAATATTTGTGATTTTATCTTGTTCTTCTAATATGAAATTGGTTTCCTATATTTAACAGAATCAAGATGACTAATGTTAGTTACTTGCCAATGTATGCAACATCCGAGAATACGGTTTCATCCCCTCCACCTATCGTCTCTAATGAAATGCCACCTCCTCACACTAATAAGCGAAAGAATCGTTCAGAGGCTTGGAATCATTTCATTATATCGTCAGAAGAAGAACAAAAAGCTTCGTGCAAGTACTGTGACACAAAAATTAAGTATAATAATGGAACTAGTTTCATGCATGCTCATTTATCGAGATGCCTTGTTTACAAGAGACAAAATACATCATCTTCTATGACAAGTGATGAATAACATGTTGGCTCTCCTTTAATTGTCAAGTTTGACCAAGAAGCTATTCGAAGAGCAATGGTTAAGATGTTCATTAACATGGAGATTCCTTTTCAGAAGGTTGAACATGAGTCTTTTCATGAATTTATGATTCTCGCTTCACCAAGATTTCAGATTTGTTCGCGCACAACATTGGCACGTGATGTCTTGAAACTATGGGACACGGAAAAAAGGATTTTGAAAAACTTTCTCTCTCTGAATTGTGGAAGAGTTTGTCTCACCACTGATATGTGGACTTCTTGTCACAAGTTGAGCTATATGTGTGTGACGGCCCATTTCATTTACAATAATTGGAACTTACAATAGAAGATCTTAACTTTTTGTCAAGTCACAAGTCATACAGGGTGATTCCATTTGTGAAACAATAGAGATGTGTTTGAACAGTTGGAGTTTAAACCGCGTGCTTAGTTTGACGGTTGATAATGCTTCATCTAATGATGTTGGGGTTGAACGTCTCAAGAGAAGGCTTTTGTCTAAGAATATTTTAGTTATGAGTGGAAACCATTTTCATATGAGGTGTTGCACACACATATTGAATTTAATTGTGAAGGAAGGTTTGAAAGACATTGATGATTCTGTTTATAGAGTTCGTCATGTTGTTTGGTATGCTAGATCTTCTCCCACGATTCTTGCTAAATTCAAGGCATGTATTGATGAGGAGAGCATAGACTATAAAGGTTTAGTTTCTCTAGATGTTGAGACTCGTTGGAATTCAACTTACTTGATGTTAGTATCTGCATCAAAACATGAAAGAACCTTTGAAAAATTAGGTTTTCGAAATAAAAGGTGTAACACCCTCTAAAACCCCGAATAAAATTTTGCAAATAATTAAAATCATATTTTCAGAGTACATGTATTAACGAGGATGTCACAATTCTCTTTTAACAAAAACAAGTTCTTGTCATGCATAACATAGAAGCAACTCATACATGTTTACACAGCAGAATAATTTAATTAACAAAGCCAATGTTATAATATTTTTCAAAATCATCAGGGATTAACACCTGGAATATATCAACATCATGTTATAACGAACATAATGAAATAAACGAGTCTGACTAAAGCAGCTCGACAAACAAACGTTCCCGGAGTTACAACTATCAGAGCATGACCCGGACAATACTTAAATGGAAATAAACTAGAAACAACAAGCCTTCGCCAAGCACCTGAACGAAGCTCCTCAATCTGAAATATTCAACAGTAAGGGTGAGCATCTCAACTATACATTTGATTATACGTCCATAACAATCAATTCAGAAAACCATAAGCATCACCCAAACAGTTAGCATGTTTCATAGTTTACGAAAACCTTTACAACTCATATACTCAGAATACATTACTTTTCATACTTATAATTAGCGTCAAACGTCATTAACAATTCAGCAACAACACATGCACACAATCAATTAAATACAACATTGGAAAACCATCCATTCATGTTATATCCAATGTAATGCAACACACCCATGCATGTGGTACCATTTTACCGCCCCATTAGATCTCGGGTCACGGATAACTCACCGTTCCATTATATCGCGGACACGGCTACCACCTCAACGTTCCATTAAATCGCGGACACGTATATTGGCCACCATGTTAATTCCACACAATGGGAATTAACAAATGCAACATGATATGTACAGTATGTAACACTCAGCATACTATTAACATCAATAAACCATATCATGTAACATCAACAATATCAAATACAACATGATATGAATAGCATGTAATCACTCAGCATACTATTAAACATCAATCAATCATATCAAGTTATATCATAATTCATGCTTGATAACATTATCTAAAAGCATGACAATAAAATCCACATAGTGTTGGTATCATAACATACAACATTATTCGATACAAGCCTCCACAACACTATGCATATCATTAAGCAGCATGTTCAAAACTAACAAACACTGCACATTAAACAAAATCATTCCTGTACATCACAACAAAGCACAGAAAACAAAGTTCAGAAACCAACACAGGAGGTTTAACACGGGTGCCCGTGTAAATCAACACTGCCCGTGTGGAAATGTGTCCAGAAAACCCGTTATTTTGCCAATACAGGGGATCAACACGGGTGCCCGTGTGAATCAACACGGCCCGTGTTGAAATGTGTCTGGAAAACACATTTTTTGCCAATACAGTGAATCAACACGGGTGCCCGTGTAAATCCACACGGCCGGTGTTGATGAGCGCGAACCCAAAATTTCCTGTACCTGCAGCAGCTCAGAACAGCAGCCAAACGTGAAAAATACCAGCCAAAACGTGCATTTCGGTACATAACAACATCAATTATGCATAACTTAAAGCAACACATCAATTGGAACACAATTCCCTTCTACGTTAGTCAATTTCCAATCTTAAGGACAGCGTCAATTCACTTAAGGTCTCATTTTCCAAAATCAATCAAAACTCAGAGTTCTCATTTTTAAAACATCCCATTTTATCAACGATTCCTTCATCAACAATAAGTTTTATAAAATTGACCTTAAGTGACATATTACCCGTCCTTTAGGGAAATTCTAACAACATTGGGGTTATCCCTAAAACACCCAAGGTAAACTCACGATCATACAATTTCGATCTAAATCAACAATGGGGATTAATTTCTTAATCGATTCACAACCTTTAGGGAACCTAATCCTTTCTAACGAAATTCGACCCTAAAGTTATCGATCACTAAGAATCTCAGAGAAAATGGGATTATCCTACGATTACCCAACCAATTGCATCTAAACCCATAAGCAAATATAAATGGAGTAGTAGCCCCCCTTACCTTATCAAATTGCAGCTTGAGTTCTTTGAGCGATGTTCTTCGTTCTTCGCACCTTCAGAGCTCAGCTTCCCAAATATCCCAAATTCTGTGTTATCGTGAATAATGAGAAAATAACTTGAGTTCCAAACATATCCTTATTTCTTTTGCACCCCCACTCTTTACTAACGACATCCAAGCCCAATAACTTAAAAACCCAATGTTTTCTTATTTCTTTTATTTTCTTCAAATATTCCAAAATAAATAATTCCTTTTTATTTTATTAATTCTAATAAAATAATTTCCCAATTTAAATAAATCAAATAATTGAAACTGGGGTGTTACAAAAGGTATGTGAATTACTTTTGAAATCATATATATCTAGTTAGGTATTCTATTATAATAGTTATAAAGGTCATAAAAACTTTATATATTAATAGAAACTAACACAATAACACTTTGTTGTTATTGCCGTGGCTATTATAAAATTATGCAAGTACATAATTTATCTTAGTGTAACAAGTAATAGCTACAACAGCTAATTACATTGTCATAAGTTATAAAAGGGTTATTGAAGATAATATGTCAACCATGTATACTTTCCTCTCCAAGCATTTAGTAAGAAACTTCACAGGACTAAACTATTTGACTTAATGAAAATTTATGTATTGTTCCTAACTATTTAGTGCAATACTCTTCTAAATCAGTTAGAAAAAGTTGAGGTATAATGCAACTCTTGTGTACTGAATCTTAATTGACAAAAAAGGATGGTATAAAGTCCATAAGGCTCTTGTCTGATCTCAAGTGTTGTATGTGGGTGTGAGTAAGTGGTTGTGTGTGCACAGTCATTATGTTAAATCTAAGAATGCATGTCATACCATAGCCTTGATGCATCCATATCCATCAATTTGCATGAAAACTTCTTGTCTTTGGAAATTAGAAAAGAACATATGGCATCCATTGGAGATAATTCCTTTGAAAATGCGATGTTGTTTTAAGAAAGAATTTATATAAAGTTGAATTGATGTTGAACATTTTATGTTATGCTAGGTATGTGAATGAGTTGACAAAAAAGGGAAAAGGTGTTCCGACGAAAGATGATTGGAAGCATATCAACTTAACCATTCCATTCTTGAAGTTGTTTTATGATGCTACTGTACATATATCAAGGTCTTCTTATTTGACAATCAATATTTATATGTTTGAGGTCTTGGATATTGGAAAGAGCATTGTGGATATGTGTACGTGTGAAGATGAACATCTACGTTCGGCATCTCAAAAGATGAAAAAGAAGTATGATAAGTATTGGGGACCTCATGAGAATCTTAACATGATGTTGTTGATTGCTCTAGTTTTTGACCCTGGACGCAAGGTTAGATTGGTTGACTGGATGGTACGATGATATTATAATAAGGTTGATGTTGATGCCTTGAAAGAAACCTTAGAGTCTTGCTTGAAATCTATTTATGAGGAATATTATGTTGGGTTTATGCCTCCTCAAGGTAATCCACATGAGCCGCAAGTTTTTGGTAATGTTAGTCATCCATACGGAACTGCTGAGTTTTATCTTTCAAAAGGGTGTGACAATACAGATAATGAGTTAACCACTTATCTTTGAGAGAAGTTAGAGCATAACATGGAGATAAATGTTCTCGAGTGGTGGAAAGTAAATTCTGGTCGTTATCTCATCCTTGCAAGCATTTCAAGAGACGTGCTTGCTACACCAATAAGCACAGTGGCGTCTGAATCTGCATTTAGCACAGGAGAAAGGGTGCTTGATCCATATCGCAGCTCATTAACACCAACAACTATCGAAGCACTAATATGCACCCAGGATTTGATCAAAGGAACATCTTCATCATTGATTACAAATGAAGATTTTGATATTCTTGAGAGATTTGAGCAAGGTATGATAACTAAGTATATTCGCTAATGTATTATTATTTATTATACTTGAGGCATAATGAAATGTATTTGTATGTTTTATAGAATTACTTTATTTGGAAGATGGTGCTAGTTGTTCAACATCTTCAATCTATGTTGCACTCGAAGAGGACTTAACGGTAAAGAATTCTAAAGTATGTTTCTACATATTTTACTCATTTTTTTATATATGCATTTTCTGCACTTTTTCGTTTATGTTGTTGTGTGATTTTTCTAATTTCTGCACTTGAGAATTTGAAGATTTTGGTTTGAACCAATTGTACCAAAGAATATAGACAGTGGTATTATGCCACAATTTTATTAGTTATGATTGGTGAAGTCTTCATATTATGAACTGCTCCAAATATAATGTGTTAGAAAGAATATCGTTCATTTTTTAGACTCAATTTAGGCCTATATGTTAATGCATGATCTTGTTATTCTTCATTTATTTGCTAGTTTAGTTGTCACTTGGCAGTTTTGACATAGTTAAGAGTCACTATCTTATTATTTACTCTACTATTCTCAATTTTGTTTTCTATATCCTTTGTTGAATTCTACATTCTGCTGCAATGTTTGAATCAATTAACAGTTTCTATGTAATCCTTGCAATTATCAACTCTAAGTTCTGAAATATTTTGGTTTGGTAGTTGTCTCATTTACATGTGATGTGTAAACTTACCTGAATATTTCTAAGTATCATTATTGCTATGTGTTAATTTATGATCATAACTTCATAGATATTGTCTTGTGGGTGTTTTGCTAAGTCATTGTTTGAATATTTTGTAGGATCTTCTGCTACCTATGTCAGGTTCATTCCTTATATAAAGAAGAATTGTGATTATTTCTATTGATTATTAATTTGATGCCAAAAGAAAGTATTCTTGTAAACAAAATAAGGAAGTAAATGTGTTTATGCTTTTTATAAAAACAACTATTTTATATGCTGACATTCTTGTAATTTCATTTCATTCTATGCAGCATTAAGCTTATTGGAAAAGCTGATTAATTTTGTATGTCGAAAGAAAATTGTGAACCCGTTGAAGACCGAGAGGTTTTACTTGATTTTGGGAACAAGTTTCTACCTTCAAAGACATTGAATTGGAATGAGGGTTTCTTTATTTGTGATAATTGGAGTGGTATAACATGCATTACTGTTGCTTCTACTAGTTTTGTATGCAAGTTATAATTTTAATTTCCAAGTTTAGTAGTGGAAGTTTACACATATTGTGTATTTGCTTAAGCTTTTCCAAATGATCATTTATCACATATTGATACATAATTATGCATTTCCTCTTATACACTTGATACATTGATGATTGTTCACTTTGTGTCTTGTGTCATTTTATTTTCCGTTGTATAGCTTAACATGATGTCATATTTAGTATTTTCAAAAATTTTAATTATAGCAAGGTTAATACATTTTCTTTTGTTATTTAAGCTTAATATGATGTCTTAATGAAATTCATTTTTAAAAAATTATGTTTTTTGAATTTAATTGTCATATTTTTTATTTAAAACTGATTTTTTTTTATAAAAATGATTTTAAAATTGGTTTTTTTATAAAACTGGTTTCAAATTTGGTTGTTTTATAAAACTGGTTTTTTAAAGTAAATAAAAAATTGGTTTTGAGAAAAATCGGTTTAAAACTGGTTAGAATTGGTTTTTTATAAACTGTTTTTTTATTGTATAAAACCGATTTAAAACCGAACAAGTCTACATTCAAACCAGTTTCAAAAAACCAAACCGGTTTTATAGAAACAGTTTTAAGATTTAAACCAATTGGTTTTTGATCCATGCACACCTCTAGCTGCAAAATGGCTGCAAAAGAACCCAGAATTTCAAGCTGCCTATCGTGAGAGACAAGATATGGAAGAACCATTTGATCACTCTCTGGTAAAGAAAAAATATGAGGCAATGGGGAAAGCCTGTTTCTGGGGCGGAAATATGGAAGCAGTGGCTCTTTTTCCATGTGGAAAATCGATTGAATAAAAAGAAAAATTGTGACTTTTAAGGATCTAACTGTTTTTTCTGTTACATACTATCATGGTGATGACTATTTTTCTTTGAGCCCAAAAGCCCAAAACGAAGTTTTATCTTACTTGCTTTGTAAGGCATGTGCATAGTGCACTATTTAAAACATTCAGAAACAAATTACAACTTAAAGTGTTATTTTTATTGCTTAACTCATCAGAAATATGTGCATAGTGCAAGTATGAAGTATCTTTATTCAACTCAGAATAGGACTATGCATGTCTTATGACAACTACAATCAAGAGATAATCTGAAGAAAAGAATCAATACACTTTTATTCATTTTCAAAAAAGATTATGTACAAATTAATTATTTAACCAACCAAAATTGTTCCCTCCATCACCACAAGCCATGTCATCCAACCTAACACTACGATTATTGATAATACCTGGAACTTCATCGAGATCAGTTGCAAAATGCTGGAAAAAGAACCCAGAATTCCAAACTACCTCGTCAAGTTGTCTCTGTCGTGACAGACAAAAGGGTATGAGAGGGAAAATCACTTGTATGTAACTTGATAATCTAATAATCTATTATCTCCTTCCCAGCCCGAAAATGAAAAAAGTTCCCATGCAACTTGAGAATCTGGCACTCCCTTTGTGTGACAAAACTGGATATGGAATCACCTTGATCATCTGAGGCAGCTCAGTTGGTGAGTTGAGAGACACCGAACCGAAGGAGTACTAACCATGAGGTTCATGTTCAAACTCTAGAAACTAACATAACTCACTAACATTTGTCTATTCCAAAAAAAAACCTTGATCATCGGATAGCCAGCCATGCTGATCGAGCTCATCCATTATGACCCTCCATGAGATCACCAAGTGTTATTTTTCCAAAGTTGCCGGTATCTAGTCTATCAAATTTCTCACTGATCAGCATGATGTCCTTCTCTGTCACTTTCCCCATCTCCTTCAGCTTGTATATAACATATTCTGATTTACTGTATACACAAAAAAATCTTAATATATTCAGTGAAAGCACAAGATACATATGTTATGAATTTCAATCAAAACTAATTAACAAATGACATGAAAAAAAAACACAAATTGGAAAAGTACTAATGTCATTAGAATCTGATATACCATGCAGGCACAATAAACCTAGATATCCAGGAAGTACCTCCATCTTCTTCTTTTCTATATAAAAAGGTTTTACTGGTTAATACGTAAGAGTGAAGGTACCTGAACAATTAAATCCTAGATCGTAACGTTCGACACTTTGAGTAATTATAATCCTTACTTTAAATGACAATGTGTATTCATAGGAAATATCTATACTACTTTAGGCACTTCTATATATGGTCTCAGTGTACTTACCCATTTTTGTCATTATGATTAGTTTATATTTACAATTTGCATGTAAGATAACTACGTCATTTGATTCAAATAAAAACTGCTCCTTATTTGACTAGAAATCATTCTTTCTGTTTAACTCTTTTGGTTCTTTTTATGTTTAGATATTGAAATGTCATAAATATACTTTTACTTTTATATATAAACATACAACAGTCAACAACCAAGGCTTCTAACTTCTTTGAGAAAAGACGATTAAGATCCAAATGCTTGATAATATTATAGTATAACTTGCAGCTTTTCTTATTCTGCCTTTACTGTTAACTTTAGGACTTTCCTTCATCTATAGTCTATCTTCCTTTATAGGTGTTTCATGAATTCCATCCATGTATATTCAAACCTCTAAGAAAATGCAAATAGAATGGAAAAATTGTGCCAGTGAAGTTCTATAGAAACATCCACTCAAAATGCTCTTAATAGCATTTTACTCAAAACTAACCACCGAACAGATATAAAAACTATTAAGTCCCACAAGTTCTTAAGATGGTATCAAAGTCTGGTTTAAAATTCATTGGGCCACCTGCTATCAAGTTTTCCCTATCGGGTCATCCACCATTTATATTCACGCTCTAGACGTGAGAGGGTGTGTTAAGAATCTCACATCGGACAATATATGGCCTGAGCATTTGTTTATAAGTAGAAAGCAATCCTCGTCTTACAAGCCGGTTTTGTAAGGTTGAGTTAGGTTCAACCACGATTTTTAAGAGAAACATTATCAAATGTTAAAGACAATCAATAGGCATCACCAATGCCATTTACTGCAAATTCATAAATTATAGTCTGGTCTGAAAGTTGTTTATATGGCAATATACTTTTATATGTATTCTAACATTCCCTTTTAAAAAATAGACTTAGGTGGTTTAGGCACGTAGAGAGAAGAGCTATAGATATTGTGGTAAGGAGAGTAGATCAAATTGAGAGATGTCAAACAGCTAGAGGTAGATGAAAGCCTAAAAAAACTAGAAGAGAAATTATTAAGAAAGATCTCGCGATTAACGATTTGAATAGAAGCATGGTCCTGGATAGAACATTATGGGGAAAGTTGATCCATGTAGCCAACCCCACTTAATAGGATAAGGTTTGGTTGTTGTTGTCGTTGTCGTCTAACATTTCTTCTTAAAGCTAAAGCTTATTAAATTTAAAACTTATTACAAATAAATCCATGAAAATGAATAAATAATTTGGGCCAAACATGGCTAGAAAAGGCAACGGACATTGGAGACCCTAGAGAGATGAGCATTACAAGAAAAAAAAGCAACTTAGCAAGATGATACACACGGCAAGGATTAAAACTTCCCAAATCCACCAAGAACAACATTTAGAAGCCTTACAGCATAAGAAAATTTAGTATACCGATAATAATAACAGAAATTGAGACCGTGGCTCATCTGTATTATCACAGCCATGGATAATTCATCAGGGCGTGTCTTATCAATAAGAGAGGAGAAACCACCATGGGTATAACTCACAATGGGACATTGATATGAACTATATCCAAGGGCACACTACAATTAAAATAGTTCAGGCCAGACTGAATATGGACTTGAGATCAAACTTCATTTGGGATAGTCAGGGCCGGATTGCATTTGGGACAGTCAGATTCAAATTTTATCCAATATAGTGGGAGGCTGCCGAAAGAGCATGGCAGTGAGATATATCATCTAAAGGTTTCGAGACATGCAGAAGCAGAGAGCAAAAGACTAAGTTAACAAAAAGAGAACTCGTGACAAAAATTGATTTTGAATGAACTGATTCTGACTAAAAGTGAGTTGATGTGAAAATATACAACCAACCACTAACAAGTAACCAAATCTACTGCTTTTAGGAGGTAAAGTGAAAATAAAAAGTTTCATCAACTTCCAAGTACTACTACATACAGAAAAACTACTTGCTGCCAACCTTAAGACATAGAGGTTGAACTAATCCCATCTATGACAGACAATGAACCAATTCAATTCCCTTTCTATTTCCCCGTCAAATTTTCAACTCCATCCTCAACATACTTTTTTTTCTCTCAAATACAAATCTCCAAAGCCAGGTTTCATAAACTATTGATACTATCACATTTTCCGTAGGCTATGCAAAATTAAAAACATTCTAGTCCTGAATTCTAGGAGCGGTAGAAAGCATAGGCAACAGAAAAACACTACATACAAAGTTATTTCATATGCAAAGTCATTTCAAGTTCTACTTTCAGACAGAAACATCTATTGGTATAAAAAATAACTCAAATTTATGCAATTGAATAAACATATTCATCCATACCTCACAAATCCATTGTTGTCTATATCAGCAGCAAGAAACTCGGCAACAGTCATGTCCTGACCAAGAATCCACTTAGCCATCCTCCTATGCCGTTTATCCACTCTCGCCTCAGCCAAATAAAGGAACGCTCGGGCAACCGCAAGCGTTGACACAAGCAACCAAATTGCAGCAAAGATACGACCATGCATAGTGTTGAAAGCATGATCACCATACCCAACCGTTGTGACAGACATAACTGAAAGATAAAAGGAATCTACCCACCCAAGACTTTCCACAAAATGCATAACCCCGACACCGACTCCAATACAAAGTACCACAACCCCCAATGCCAATGCCACCTTCATCCTAATCCTCATCCTACCTTTCTTCACATCAACTATATACGACCTTCCATCCTTCGCACTCCTTCCCTTCACTGCCCTTAACAAATGATTCTCTTGCAAATCAAGAACATAACTAACCATTCCACTGAGCAATATATCAATAAAACCAAAACCAATTAACACAAACAATATAGAGAAAATCTTGGTTGCAGTACTATTAGGAGTAATGTCACCATATCCTATTGTGCACATTGTGACTATACAAAAATACAACGCATCTACAATAGGGTGAGTCTCAGTTGCTGTAAAACTATGACGATTGAACCAATAGATAACAACCCCTAAAGCCAAATAAAGAACAAGAAGAATAAAAGCTTGATGAACAATAGATTGGCTACCAAATTGAGGTCTTTTCACAGTTGGGTGATTGAAATCACTGATAACGGCCATAGCCGGTGCAGTTTTGGAGCGATGCAAATTGGTTTTCCTCCATGGATAATTAGGGTCAATGAGCCAAGAGGATAATTGTTGTTGTTGAGAGAGTTGTGATGATGAATCACAAAGTGTGGATGTTGCTGATGCAAAGTCGTGGGAAGAGGAACAAGAAGAATTTTTTGGGGAATTCCGTGAAAGTGTTAAGGCATCAGCCAAAGGTGAAGGGTCTCTTGGTGAAGCACATGAAGGTCCAAAGATGAGACGATCCTTGAACTCAGAAGGGGTAACAGGAAGAACGATTTCATCGTTTTCTGGTAAAGGAAAAAGATGAGAAGGCAATGGGGAAAGGCGTTTTTTGGGGCTGAAATATGGAAGAAGTGGCTCTTTTTCCATGTGGGGTTGTGGAAAATGGATTGAATAGAAAGAAAAATCGTGACTTTTAAGGATCAAACAGTTTTTTATGATGTGGGTCGGTTCCAGAACATGCGGAGATTATTAGATTAAACATAGGATTAGAAATCAGAGAGTTTTGATTTTAACGATGATGAAGATGTATAGTGGCGATGGAAGTTAGAATGATTTGATTTGATTTGATTGCAGTATGATGATTTCATTTCCTATGTATTGAAAAAAACAGGGACGGTGTTGTTGACGTTGTTGGGTTAAAGACGATAATGTTTTTGTTTAACTTATGTTTACTTTGCGCCCGTTCGTTTTATTGTGGTATGCTCACGCGCTTATGAGTGGCGAGTGGGATAAAAGTGAACCGTGTGATGTGGGTTTGGAAAGTGAGATTAGAAAAATTTGTAGAAATATAACGTTGGTTCTTGGTCGTGGGACTCATGAATGTCTCAAATTATTGTAAGAAGAGAAATAAGAGAAGATGGGTGTGGATTATGAATTGAATCAATTTGAGTTAATAAAAATAAAAGAGATGGTCATACTCATAAGGCATGTTGTGACTAGATTAGTGGTGATGTCTAGACGTAATTGGAGTATTAAATAGAGGATGGAATGCGACCTTGTCCAATGTAAAGAATTTATTTACAGATTATAATATCCATTTTGTCACCTTATTTATAATGTAAGTGTTTATATATAAATTTCAAAAAAAAAAATTAAATTGTTTTTATATATACTCTTAATTAATACAATAGATTATAAAGTTTGTGGTTTTAAATATAGGCAAAGGATGGATTGATCCAACATATGTCCAGGTTTTTTACATGCAAGAATAGGTTTTTTTTTTCAATTATTCATAGGTATTAAAATAACTAATAAGATTATAATGGGGTGTTAAAAAAATTATTAAATAGTTGAATTATTACAATGGAGTGTTGAATTGAATATTGAAAATGAGATAAATTAATTGGTATTGAAAACATTTAAGATGTTGAATGAGGAGGGAGTGAGACCACGTATAATATTTGTAAAATCTTATTGATTATTGTGAATGTTTAAATTTTTATCTCATTTTAAGTATTTGGGTTTAATTATTTTATATTAAATCAATTTTATTTTTATTTTTATTTTTATTTCCACTAAAATTTATTATTTTTTATCTATAAATAGAGACTTGATTCATTTAATTTAGACACACAAAAATTGACTTTATTAAAAAAAAACATAAAAGAAAATAGACTTAATTGCAATTCCAGTCCCTCTATTATCTCTTTTTTTGGATTTTAGTCCCTCCATTTTAAAATCTGGATTAATCTCTATATTTTAGTTTTTTGAGAATTTTAGTCTCCTACAAATTCTAAGACAATTTTTAATGACACAACGCTTATATTAATAACGTGTCAGTGCCGGTTCAACAGTGAATTGTTCAAAAAAAATATTTTTATTTAAGATTCATGTTGAATATGTCATCAATGTGAGCTCCAAATTTACAAGGGGACTAAAATTCTCAAAAATTAAAAATAAATAGACTAAAATTTCGAATTTTAAAATAGAGGGACTAAAACCCAAAAAAAAAAAAGATAATAGAGAGATCAAAATTACAATTAAGCCAAGAAAATAAGAATATAAAATAAAATTGGTGGAGTAGGATATTGAATTTTATTAAACAAAACTAATGTAGTGAGTAAAAGTTGAATGAATGTTGAATTATTAAGTGAAAGAGAGAGAAGATGATGTGAAGTGTAAAAAGTGAAGAAAAAAAAATGTTAAATATGTAAATTATTGTACATAGTCTAATTAATAATAAACTCGTATGTACACATAGATTCTAGTATAGTACGCGTTTTTATTAATAAAGTTGCGTCGATCATTAAAAAAAACTTATCATCAAAATGAACATCATTATAAAAAATAGATATAAAATGTACAAATTTCATTGACAATGAAAACCAAATACATATACATGTTTTATGAATAAGTAAACTATTAAGTTGTATCCATATATATAGTAGTTAACATATATGTAGTATTATATTTTATTGAAATAAAAGTAAATGTCAAGACAGGTTTTAGTGGTAGGGTTTTAGTTTAAGGGTCATTGATATTCAACATGAATATTCAAAATGTTATGATAACTTCTCAAAAATTTGGTTCAGCTGAAAGACTTGAGTTTCTATCGTATATTATTTTGCAGATGTATGATTCTATGGTTCGTTTGCACTTCTTTTTATTTTGATAACACTATTTTCTATATGTTTCGATGCAGGTCATCATGTTGGACGAAAGCTGATGTTGAAGTTGTTATGTGATTGCTCACTTGAGTCAGGACGCCTTATGACGTGTCAAACTTGGATGTTGATATTAGCGGCGAAGATCCCAAACCAGACGATGGTGGGACTGATTTCGAGTTTGGATTAGATAAAGATTTCAAGTGAAAAAAGGTGATAGGTTTCTGAACTACTTCGAGCAAAAATGTTTTAATAAGAAATTTTGTTTAGTTTATCAATGATTTCATGTTATTTGACACAATATTTGCCAAGGTTTGTGTCTTAAAAAATATTGTACGTGAATCAAATTGCAATAGAATTGTTCGATGAAGACAATGGAGATAGGTACTATCGAGAAATTCACATAGTCAACTGCAACAATATGGATAAGTATCTTGGAAATGGATTGTATGAGTATGCAAAGAAGAAGAAACTAAGAGGAAGATATATTCTTTGATTTACCATTTGGGATCCTCCAGAACGACTCTATGTGTCTATGCTCAACTGCTGATGGTAGTTCAACAAAGTATATTTCTGAGTTTTCAGTTGAAGTTGTAGTTATAAATTGGAGTTTTTAGTTGTTGTTTGGAATCAATTTTTTGTTTAATTAGCAAGTATTATCCTTTAAGTTTGAGTTACTTATTTTTTATTAAGTATCATGTAGTATTTGTATTATGTTTGGAACCACCATGGATGATTTTGAAAGAATCTATAATATAATTTAGGATATTATTGATAAATGTCATCCATAATAAGAATTTGAGTATAAAGAACATTCATCAAGGGTACAGATATAAATAGGTAAAAAAATATTATCATAATTTTTTTAATAAATATTACTTGATTAATTAAAAAGGTTAAAGTTGGATTGAAAATTATTTATCTCTCTTTTTAAGACCATTAGTAGCAAGTAGAGCTTGTGAAAAATAAATTGATCATAAAATTAGAATGAGTAATTAAATTATATATGACTTTTAAAACAAAAAGAAACCATTGGAACCATGGACATATATGTATGCGCTACAATTTATAATATTAATTTTAAATTGCAAATGTGTAAGATCAGTAGTGTATGGTGGATGTAAATGATGTTGAAAGATATTGTCAAATATGATGTGAGTTCGGTTGGGGTAGATAGTGTATAGGTTGGAAAAAAAATCTTGAAAGTGTTATCATAACATACATTTTGAGATTCTCCTAACAGTTCTAAAAGGATTAAGTAAAAATACCATTTATAAAAGATTCATTTAAAAGGTCTCAACAAAAAAACAAAAAAACAAAAGAGAAAATGAAGAGATTGATAGTGTTGAGTATTAAGTTAGGTGATTGGAAATCGAAATGGAGTTGGGCAGCAATAATGACATGGGACAGCTAGGTATGAAGAGTAAAAAATGTCCTTTATGCAGTCTTAAATATTGGAAATCGAAATGGTGTGGGGCAGTAATAATGAATGGTAATGTGTTGTAAGTAGTTTGTGAACCCAATTAAATGTTTGGTTTTGTGTAACCGTAGCCTACTACAACTCAAATTAATATTATAGATTTATATAAATATGTGTACACAATTAAAAGATTGCTTAGTTTTTACTACGGGTTTCATATTTTAAGCCCTAAAAACTTAATCTAATCATAGATAATCATCACTTACCATTATTCTATAATTCTACATCAAATAAACAGCATCGGAACATCATCAGTCATCTATAATTCGTCAATTTCACATCATACAACATCATAAACATTAAATTCATGAACAAGACAACAATCACCTCTAACCCCACATACCAATCATCATGAACCCAATTATAGAGTCAGAATCCCACCCTTACCTTGGATTGAAGGTCGCTCTATAATCTTTCGGTCAAAACCTCGTTCTGCCGTTTTTCCTCTTTTTCCAGCAGCTTCATGTTCTTCTTCTCAATCTTTATTCTTCTATTGCCTCCTCTTTCTATTCTTTCTAACCACAGTAAAATAACCTATTAATTATTTATTCCTTATTGGGCTTAAAACTAATACACCCCCTTATTACTTTTATTCCTTTAAAACAATCTCACATCAATAATATTATACTTCTAATATTATTTCAGCACTTAATAAAATACTTAAATCCAATTAATCACAACACATCTTCTCAATATTCCAAAAATAATTTAATTAAATAATTAATTGAATTACGGGCGTTATAAGAAGCGCGCGCCTGTGACTATAGGGACCTGGGTTCGAGCCCCAATGGTACTCTTTTGGGATTTTTTTTCTTCATATTTTTTCACATATTCTGACCTTTTTTTGGCAGCGCTGGGCCTCATCCCCTTGGGCTTTATTTTTTTTACTTCTGACCTCCCTTGCTGGCTATTCACACCCTGGCCCATTTTATTTTCTTTTTCTCATTTTCATTTATTTGTTTTCTTAAATATATTATCTAACACTAAAAAAAAATCAGAAAAAATAAAAATATTAGATTTATATTTTGATATAGTTTATTTATTTATTTTACACAAAAATTATTTTATTTAATCATACTTTATTTATTTCACTAATTGATTTGTAAATTTAATTAGAAACTAGGTTTTTTAGTTATTTTCTTTTACACAATTTAAATATATTATTTTTAAATATAAAAAGACCAAAAACATTTTATAATACTATAAATTATTTTTAAGACAAAAATACCAAAAATATTCTTCTTATAAACTTAATTTCTTTTTTAATCAATTAATATATTAGGGTTTTATTTAAATTATTTTCCTAGTAAATTTAGGTTTTACTTTTTACTAATTTAATTAATTATTTTTCTTTTAGTTAATTAGGTTAAAACAAAACCTCATTTTTCCTAAAAAATCCAAATAAAAGTCTATTTTCTTTCTATTTTACATTCTTGTATATTTACTCATTTTTGTACATTATTTATCCAAATTCAATATGGTTGTAATAGATAATTAGGTTTATTTTCTAGCAATCCCCATTTGTAATTTGTACACCCCCTCCCACAAGCATTGTAATAGTGTAGTAATTTTAAATTCTGCAATTTATCGTTTTATATACAAATGCTAGTAATTAGGGTTTGTATGGAAAAACTAAAACCAATCAATTAGAAAACCCTAATTAAAGACAAAAACCAAGCATGAAAAAGACACACTTGCACCCTTAGGGTAAATCCACTTTGTTGCCTTATAAAATGACCATATTACGCATGTGAGGTATCTTAGCAAAAACAAACAAAATACAAAGATCATATTCCCTCGATGACGCCATCCATGTTGCCTTTCAAATGATCTTAGTCCCTAAAGAGAATGCTAAGATACCTTGCAACATTGCTAATAATGGTTATACGATGACCCACGCTCGTCCCGTTTACATCCAAAGATAGGGTTACTTACCAAATCAATGGTAAGATAACAATGTCAAAGGAAAGAGGAAATGAACATGAAAGACTTTTGAGTAGGTAGAATGCCCCTAGTTACTTGCTCAGTTTCAAAACAAAACATCCTTGCTATTTTCAAAACAAACACCAACACTTTCAAAATATCTTTCAAAACTTGAAAACATTTTCAAAAGATCAAACACTTTGTATACATTCTTACGAACGAGAATCATTACAAAGTTTGCCTAAACAATGACCTCTTTACAAAATACTTTCAAAAATAACACAAAGCATAATTTCAAACAAAAGCAAGTGATCTAGCAAGTAACTAAGAGCCCATGGAAAACTATGAATGAAAAGGGTGTTAATACCTTCCCTTTTCATAATCTACCCCCCGAACTCAAGAAACAATCTCAAAGGTCTTTCCTGTGCTTTTTCACCTTTCCTTTTGGATAAAAGAAAAGTTGGTGGCGACTCTTGCTAACCGCAACATTTGAGATCAAACTCAAAACACCCAAGTTAGTTCTTCCACCGTATCATAATATGTATCTTAGGTTTTAAAATTGTATTATTAGGTTGGTGAAACTTAAAACCTAGTTTTTGTATCTTTTAAGGACGTTTTAGTTTCCTGTTACTATTATGGATTGTAGCTGTTATAAATTGTTGATTATTACTTGTTATGTATCATAACACACATATATGAGATAGATATATCACAAATGTAGTCTTCAATTAATCCAGCGATAACCAAAATTGTTAAAAGATCATAAATAATTTTATGTTTGTTGAGTAAAGTAATCCCAAATGTAAGATAAGATGAATATAAAATTGAAATAGGTGATACATAATTCCAATTCCCTTCCATCACATGAAAATGTCCCTCTTAAAACATGTAATATATGACTAAATACAACATGATGAAAGAGGAATCTATCTATTTCTTCACTCTCAGATCCATTTTGGTCGAAAATATTCGCTCAACTTCTGTAAAAAAATACATTAAATAAGAAGAATGAAAAAAATAAGTATGTAAGTATGTAATAATAAGAATAGAAAGTTAAAACAATGTCATTGAATAAATTACCATCTTGGAGTATAATTTCAAAGGAATGATTGTTTGAATATGGAATAGCTAGTGTGTGAAATGTTAGAAATTCAAGTTATTGGAGTTCTTTGTTAAATTCAACACCTCACAAAAATCCCAAATTTAAGAAGCATTAATGGAAGAGTGAACAATATTGGAATGACTTTCTCTAGGTACGAGTGGAAAAATATGTCTAAAATCCCACCAAACACGCCAACTTTTCCTCCAAAAACATGTTTACAATTGCTATAATTATTCATCACATCCTTTAATGTTCCGTCAAGGGCTTCAAAACAATGTTTATGTTCCATTGTAGCCTCGTCCCAAATGATCAACTTTGTTTTTCTTAGAAGTTCCGCCAAGTCATCATTATGTTAAATATTGCAGGTTGAGTTATCTTCTGTTGGAACATAAATTTTAAACTTCGAATGAGCAGTCCTACCATCTGGTAATAACAAAGAAGCTATACCACTTGAAGCAACAATTAAAACAATATCATGTTTTGACCTTAAAGAACTTTCGAGGGTTCTCCACATGTATGTTTTCCCTGTACCTCCATAGTTGTGTAAGAAATACTCCTTCTTTTTTATTGGTAACAACATTCATTATTTTGTCATATATTGATCTTTGTTCATCTACATAGTAGAGTAACACAAAATGAAAATAATGCAATGTACATAACATGAATGTAAAGTAATATTTTTTTAAGTCAATGTGTTAGAGAAACAAAGAGGTTATTGAATTCTGTTTTTAGACTTTTGATGGTGTAGTTTCTTTCATCATAAATCTGCTGATTACCCAATTGTTCCAATACATAACCATTTGAATATGGAGTTGTTTAGAATTTCTTGAGTGGCCTTCGATTGGATTGAAGATATTTCTCAATCTCAATTAAAGTTAGAGTTTGTGAGTCATTCAAGTACAATTTTGTAATAGTAATATAATTATAGTTAACATCACGAGCATAATCAAACAATATAGATATATTAAAAATTGTGAATATGTATATCTCTATTGTTTTCCAACTCTCTGTGGTTGTAAAGGATACCATTATACAATAATATCCATGTCTTTTCTAAACATGAGCAGTCCTATTTATAGTTTTGGACAATAGCATTATGACAAAGAGCTTCCTTAGAAAATGTCTTGAACCCCATTGACTTGCTTCTTTAAATGTCCCAATGAATTATCGATCATCCTCCAAAAATCCCATAGCAAAGCATGCATCTCAAAAAGATAAGTATCGAGTTTCACCAACCTTGCAGATATCTTCATAAGTTGTAGGTCCTTTTACAACAGTGAGCAACATCCAGAGATAAAAAGTTCCCCCATTTTTCTTTTCTCATACACAAACTTGGTTACAAATTGATCGACGTCAATTGTTTGGCCTCTTCATATTGTCCATAGATGTGATGCCACTTGTTTTCTCTAAAATATTCTCCATGTTGTCAAAATTCATGTAGTAGATAGACTTTTATCCTATCAGATGAAAAAACATATGTTTTACTCTGGTTTTCTTCCATGTATTTTGTAAGAGAAAAGTGTCCAACATGCCTCACTTGATGAAATGTACCTACAATCTAAATATTTCTTAATTTCATCAAGTGGTGCTTGAGCACTTGAAGTAGATCTGTTATTTAGATTAACAGTTGTTGTAATTCTATCATAACCCTTGTAAATATACTTGAAAAGATACTTGATTGAAGTACTTTGGTTTCACCATTCCATATTGATATGGGCCTGATATTTTAGAAGCAACCTTATATTATAAGGCACTACATGTATATTGTCCAAAGAGATACCATTTTTTATAATCATATGTGTTTTTGATCTTCTTCTGTAGTTTGGATAAACATCACTATCAACAATAGTTTCTTTAATGAACTATTGGGAAAGAACATAGAACATCTACCACTTTTCATTCATGGTGATGACAACCATGATAGACCACAAGGACCATGAGTCATATGTGTCTTGACTAAGTTGTATAATCTAGGGTGAACCCCGGGGTTAGAAATCTCAGCAAAACTAATGCTATCTATATCTTTAGGTGTTGGATATTTACTATGTGGGTGCAAGAAGATAAGAATGTGAGCATGTGGCATCCCTTTTTTTTTTTGGAATTCAATATTATACATGACTGTCAACATGATAGGGAAATAAATACAGACATACCAACATAAGAATTGAAAAGAAGTGCATAAAATGTAAGACAACATAATAAATGGAATAAATATATATATCAGATATTGAAAATGGATATAAACTTATGAAATGTTAGAATGATAACTTACATGCCAAAACCTTTCCAAGTACATGTAATTTGATTAAATTTGTCATAAGTTCATCAAACTTTATCTTGAATACTTTTGACACAATATCAGGTCGATCATGTGGTTTTAAATTGTGGCTTTCCAACTGTCGTATAATCTTAGGACCAAAACCATGTTTGTTTCCATATGAATCTTGTAACCTTTTTCAAGAAATTTACCAATACTTAGAAGGTTACATTTGATTATGAGAATATACAACACTTATTTTATCAAAGAATTTTTACCATCCCTTCTCTCGATCGATACATCATTGATCTCTTCTGTCACTAGAGTGATATCATCTGTGAACTTCACTTTGTTCTTCATGACACGATTGATTGTATCAAGCCATTCTTTCCTCACTGTCATGTGCGTTGAACATCCAAAATCCAAATAGCATTGATCATTGCACAACATTGCTTCCTTCAAAGTCACCCTTGCATTTTCTTCAGCATGTAATTGGTTGGCATAAAACTGCAACCAATTATACTTTGGTTTTTCATCATTTTTCAAAATGATGATGTTATTGTCTTGCAAATTTTTGTTGTTGCATTCACCCTCTGTGATCATGACCAAGAGTGTGTTCTCATCATTTAACTTTTTTCTTACAACTATAGCTTCTTCTTCTTGGGGATCTTTCTTGTTGGAATTACATTCTCTTGCAAAATGGCTAAGCTTTTGAGAATTATAACACTGCATACTGCTTTTGTCAAGCATTCTTCTTCCACATCTACCCCTTAGATTTCCACCTCTAGAGTTGTTTGATTCAGCAGTCCTATTGTCATTGTTTTCACCCTTTTGGAATGTTGAATTATTAGAACTTTAAGACTTTCTTCCACCAAAATTATAAAATTTCCCACTACCTTTGCTCATGGGCAAGTTTCCTTTCACCTTTTGTCTCTCTCATTGAAATGGTCTTGCAAAGCGATCTTTGCCTTTGCCTTATCAACATTTCTTTCCTCCATTATCTGCTCATATGCCTCAAGAGAGCTCTACAAATCCTATTTTCTCATCTTCACAAGATCATTTGATTTCTTAATCACTATGATTATATTATCAATTCTTAACGTCAAAGAACACAAGATTTTCACGATAACATATTGCTCTGTAATCATTTTTCCATGTGATTTTACTTGGTTCACCAATTAAGTAATTCTCGTCGTGAAATTGTTGAGGGTATCTTTCTCCTTTATTTGAATCAACTCAAGCTGACATTTGTGAGTTTGCAACCTTAAAATCTTGACTTGTCAGCCCCTGCGCATGCCTTCTCTAAAACTTCACACGCTTGCTTCGATGATTCACAATCACCAACTTTCTCGAAATCATTTGTATCAATGCATTGATGGATTAAAAATAATGTCTTGAAATCTTTCTTTTTTTCTTTCTTGTGCGACGCTCTTTGCTCTGGAGTAGCACCTTCAACAAGAGGATTCAAACTGTTATTGATCACATCCAAACCATCTTGGTAGCCAAACAACACTTTCATTTGCTTGCACCACTTGTCGTAGTTCTTTGCATCAAAGATAGGTAGATTTGCAGGAATCTTTTCATTGGAGACATGAGTCATGATTGTACACTAGGTGTTTGATGGATCGAACTATACTCTTGATGCTAAATGTTAGAAATTGGAACCACAAAGTTGATGAATAATTGAGTGTGGAGAGGGAGAGAGTGAGAGAGAATTAGAGAGTAAAATTGAGGGTGAAAATACCTAATCTTTTCATTTATGAAATACCTCAAGAGGATTTATACAATTACATGATGAGGTACAATTATCAAACAAAATAAAACTGAAAATTCTCAGGTGTAACTAGTTGACATATTATGTCAATCGATTGAACTTTAATACTGACTTCATTTTTTAACTAAAATACTACATGTGTAACCGATTGACATATTATACCAACCGATTATACTTTATGTCAACCGATTACATATACTTGAATTAGCTATATACACTACTAAAAAAAAGACATTTGAGAAAAGGTTTTTACATCGGGTATCAAAATATATGATGTAAAAAAATACAATTAACAAACTTTTTACATCAGGTATTTATTTGCAATGATATAAAAAATAAGAAAAAAAATATATTTCGCTATCTATTATATCGGGCAATCTCATCCACCGATGTAAAAGGTTTTCAGAAAAAAATACGGCGGCATTTTTGTAAATAAGAAACAAGGTGGTAGAAATGTAAATAAAAAACAAGCAAAAATATATTAAAAAAATTACATCGAGGCTTAATTTTAACCAATGTAAAAAACTATTAAAAAGACGTTTGCATCGGTCCATCAAATAACCGATGTAAAAAACTGCTTAGGCTCACACCCTTACATCGGGTAATAGGTTCCACCGATGTAATAGGTTCCAAACCCTTACATCGGGTAATAGGTTCCACCGATGTAATAATGTTTCCACTGTACAAACCCTTACATCGGGTAATAGGTTCCACCGATGTAATATGTTCCAAACCCTTAATTCCTAAATTCACAATATTTCAATATTTCCACTGTACAATACTTTCATTGTCGTTGTTTCACAACCCATACGCCTTACTGTATGCATACGGCAGTTCCGTTCACGACTTTCAAGTTCATCGACCGCCATTTCCCAGCCACCATCATCAACATTTCGTTGTTCATCGTCTTTGAAGTTCTTCGACCGACATTTCGTTGTTCATCGTCTTCGACCGCCGTTTCTGTTCGTCGCTGTTTCTATTTATCACCGTTTCTGTTCATCACCGTTTCTGTTCATCGCCGTTTCTGTTCATCGCCGTTTCTGTTCGTCGTGGTTTCTATTCGTTGTTCATTGCTTCGACCGCCATTGATGATGATGTTTGTTGTGAATTTGTAGATTTGTTTGATGAACACAGATGACGTGGTTTGTTGAAATTTGATTACGTCTCCTTACCGCCGTTTCACATCTCCTTGCCGCCGTTTCACGTCTCCTCGCCGCCGTTCACGCCGTTCACACCCTTCACGACTTTTCACCAGCCGATTCACGCCCTTCCTCGCTCGCTGTTTCAACTGTAAGTCACATTCTTCACTTTGGTGTTATTGATTCAATGTTTGTTCTCTTGATTTAAGTCAATACCTTATGTTAACACTAGGTAGAAATTCATTTCAAGCGCTTTAACTTGTAAAATTTTCTTTAAGAAACTTTATTTATCCAAATTTCTAAGTTTTTTAAGAATAATAGAAGGTTTTATTACAATATATGATAGATTCATGAGAGTTGAGTTAAAAAAGCAATAATATCTTTAAGAGAAGATAAGGTGTTATGCATTG